CAGAAGAAATGACAACATTCAAATCCTACCAGTAGACAAAGAATGGACGACGATCACCATGGACAAAGCAAACTAAACTGTGAAAGAAAAGCAGATTTCTAGGGACACAAACACCTATCATCTACCCACTGATGACCTCTGTACAAAACTGATCAACAAAATCAACATTACACTGAAAAAAAAAATAGAAGCCACACATGGGACAAATAAACAAGAACGTTGGAAGATGTGGCTAAATAATGTAGCTATTGTTCAATTATATAAACTATCAAAAGTGTATAGGGACGGTATTCCACCGTGGCTAACGGTATCTCAACATAAATTTCAGCTACAGATTTACTCAAGCGACTGTTGTATATGAACAACAGCTGAGAAAATTTCATTCATAATGTCTTACATTCCCTGACTAAACTGAAAATGACAAAAAAAGACACAGCGATGCTTTATTTTAATGTTACAAGGGTCCTTAACCCCATCGATCAAACCCTGGTCAAAGAAGTATTGCACATAATACTAGGGAAGAAATCTCTACCATATGAGACGCCGAAACCGGAAAGCATAAGCTATTCCGCGGAATTTATCAACATTTTTTGAATTCATTGATGAAACTTACGAACAACTTACAGTTAATCTAACGGTTCTGTCTATATCTGGATTAATTTCCATAGCTGGCATGCAGTTGTTGGGGAACATCGCGATTCCCCAGATGAAACCAAGACCGTAAATGCGATATTTTCGTTATGCACTCTTTAATAAACGTTCAGTGATAGAAAACACACCAGGCTACTAAACAACAGTTTCAAGGATACAGAATTTGAAAGGGAGATGGAAAACGACAACCAGATGTCATTCTTAGACATATTAATCAGCCACGAACCTGAGAGAACACAGAAGACCTCTTTCTACAAGTAATAAAGATATGCGGATCAACCTCTGGGCTTTTGCAGCAAACATCTGGCTCATCACAAAAAAGTCTGCATTCTAACACTAGTTTAAAAGTTAAAACACATTTCAATACTGAAGATCTCTGGAGAAAAGAATGGCAGTACCTGTATCGAGTATTTCTGCGCAATGGATAACCACAAAATTTTATCACATATGGTATGTTGAGAACGAGAAAGGACTCACCCTAATGAATCATCAGCAAAACGAACTGTTTCATCTCACATCGAAACTTTATCAAAAATGATAGCAAGCCTCATGTGACCAGACGGCATAATGCCAACAAGCATACCAACGGACAATACTCGCAAAGCCGAAGGAACCACTTTGCAATGAGTGCGGAAGCCATTAGGTCAACCAAACTGGACAAAAGTTATCTACAGGACTGTACAAATACAAATTGTCGATCAGTGGACGTGATCAAGTTTTGCTACTCTCCGTCCAAGCGTATCAAACTGGACAGGAATTCAGGCTGAGTATCAAAGAAATCCTAATTCATGCAAACATCAAACATGCAAGAAAAAATCTGGTAGTTTAATAATCATCAACCGGTTTGGTAGAAAATACACTGAATTGGATAAAATCTATAAACCACTGGGAGCCAAACAATTAAGGCGATGCAAGCACCTTTATACCGAAACGCCAGCACAATTGGACAGTGCAACTCGGACGAATAGGATGGATGGTCAAAGCTGGACAATGTACAACTAATCAGTTGAGAATTAATGAAAAAGGAAATGTTCCACTCAACCGGAAGAAAAATATCAACTGATCTGATTTCACGTCACGGTGCAACAGCAGCAACAATGACAATAAATGACCAATCAGAAACCAACTGGAATGTTCAAAACTGCAGTAAATGACCAATCAGAATGTAGATCAAAATGTCAACAACAGCATGTAACGAACAATTGGAGTTCCGGTCAAAAGTCCAGAAGTCGGGTCAAAATATCAATTCAGTTTCATGTGTAGGAGCAGCCAATTGTCAAAATGCCTCAACATCCACACTCAATTTTGTAAACTCGAACCCATAACCACTGATGGTCTCACTTCGTTTGACTAGTTCGGCGAACAACCCAATGCCTGAAGAAATAGTCCGACAATATTCCATGGTCATTCAGAATATGTTTCTGTGATAATCGTTAGAATACGTTGGTCAGGATCTTTTTGACTAAACTTACTGCCATATGTTTGGAGGCTTCACGCCTGATTTCTTGGTCAAACGGAATGTGAACGATCCAACCGCTGTCGCACAGCATTTTTAAAAAATGTCTTGAACGTGATCGTAAAACGCTTTCAGTATGGATTCCATCACGAAATTCGAACCTTCCGGGCACTAAGTTGTTGATGCTGTGTACGTCTGGTTCTTCAGAAACATACACTGGTTAAAATTACACGTTATCTGTTCGCGAAGATAGAGTGCAGTTAGGCGGGCCGAGCACTGATGATACCGGCAATGGTAACACGTTGCAGTGGACCCCAGTTTTGTTAGTTTGTACTCGTATACCATACTAGCAGTGTGAACACAGTTCAACTGAAACACTTTGTGGGCAGTCACTAGATGTACCTTCTAAGAATTAAACGTTGTACTAGTCGTCTAAGCGCACCAGGATCCTAAAAAAGTTTTGTAGAACCAGCTAAAACGAATTAGGTAAATGTACGTTTGACAGCAACTGCGCTATCGGGATGATCTCAAAGCAAGCCGTTTCCTGTAGGCCTTTATAAAGACCAATGAAATGACCACATTTTGACGCTGCGTGATATAATACGCCTTACCTTTGTCAAACGTTCTAATACGGCTTGACTGCTAGACATGGGTCCCTACTATGCTGCTTCACCCAGTCTACTTGCGCGGAGACAAGAAGAACACGATTGGGGAAAAACACGCTGTATTGCTGACTACCAGTTCGACAAATGAATAAAATGCCTGTAAATATACATCATGAAATAGTGGCCAAATATGGTCATTTACTTGTTGAATCACTGTCCACTTGTTTAGGCCACTTCGCTACCAAGTGGCCAAGTAAGGCCAATTCCATAGGCGTTAGTTTCTCGGGCTAGCGTGACACCTACACTTACTTGCACGTATCCTCCTGTCGCGACACCCACGCTCACTACCACGTATCCTGCTAGTTTGTCCGAGGTGCCCCTCAGTGCTTTGTTGATGTCTGATTTATTCAGCCGTCACCGAAGGCCTGACTGGTTTACAATGATGACTGATTTTATCAGCCGTCACCAATGTCCTGACGAGATTGTTTTGGTGAATTTACCTCCTAACACCAAGTGAAACGGTTACTGCCAGTTTGTTGGTAGTCTACTGATGATGACTTAATTAAGAATTTCAAAATACATCAAACACTAATGTTATGTACAATATAAAAAATTTTACCTGCCCGCTGATACTATCTTAACGACTTGAACGACCTGGTGTGTACTGAAGTTGTCCGAACAGTTCAGCAGAATGATATTCAGTTTGATTCTCCCCATCAAAATACGTGCAATACGGAACACGACCTCGACGCGGTGACCCCATGTGTTAACATCGACCCTAGGAAGTAGGGTAAACAAAGAAAACACGTTAAACAAGCAGGATGTAAAGGAAGTTGTGCTTTTAACTCCGAAATGGAAGTATATAACCGACCGCCTAAAATTACGAAAATTGGGCTGAAAAGCTGACTCTCAGTTATGTACTGTGAAGATTGATTATCAAAAACTATTTACCATAATCCCTAAAACCTGTGTTTCTATGGGTGGTAATGAATGCCTGAATAAGAATGAGTGTTTAGACGGCCAATCAGAATTGACCAGCATTCGTGTACACGATTATTCTAGAATTGAGTATTTTCCTATTAGTTTTGAAAGTGTTGAATTTCAGCGTTTTTTGCTTTTGACGGTTATTTCAAACGGATAGTTATGACCTTGCACGCTCGGAGTGTGGAAATACCTGTGCCAATGTGATAGAAATGTTCGCCCAAACATGTACACCACTTTGTAAGCTCATTTGCTGTACCCCCAATATATATAAACACACAATGAGCAGTGTTTGACCGAATGACGGTTGTTTTAGTCCCAGGACAAAGTCT